TTCTTCTCTCTCTCTCTCTCTCTCTCTCTATATATATATATATATATATATAAATCAATAAGAATACATATATCAGTACAACGCACCCTTTCCGTGTTGTGCATCTCTTCATTTCTCCTTGTTCGTGTGATGCCACTTTCTTGTGTTTTTTTTTTTTACTCCCGCATTTCTTTTTTCTTTTGTTCTCTTTTAGCGTCAGCCAAAGAAGAAAGGAATCAAAAACTGCAAGACGGCGGTGTCAGGTTTCACCGGCAGGTAGGAGACAAACAACAGAGGAGGCGGAGGACTGTGCATGGGCTCCGCTGTCCCCTCACTTTTTCCTACTCAAAATGCAGGTTTTCTGCATCTGTGAAAAAAGGACTGACTGTGCAGCTGTGGGTAGCTGCGAGGGGCGGTCGACGTTCACTTCCGTTCTGCTATACCACTCCAGTGCGTAGTTCGACCGCTGCTGCGCGGTGCACATGGATCTTTTTGATAACTATTTGTCACTTCCTTGTTCGCTCCCACGCCGGCGGGTGTGTGGGTGGGAATGTGCAGCGGTCGAACGGGCAGAAGGCATGTCAGTGCACCGCGAAAAGCTTTCTTCACGCGTTCTGCAATTTCTCGCCGCCCTTTTTCCCCTCCCTTCTCTCTCTTCTTCTTCCTTTTAATCTTCTATTGATTTTGTTCCGCGTCACCGTTGCCGCACCGCAATGTAGATTTAACGATCTAATCCAAGACACTCTCCCTAACACGCCATATCAACACACACGCACGCATCTCCCGCTCCTTGCTGTGACCGCGCACCGCTCGTGTTCTTCCCTCCTCCCCTGTCCCCACGATGCAGACAACCGACTCTGCCGGCGACCTCGGCAGCCTCGGCGTGGCAGCGGCACCGATCCCAAACGACGAGGCGACGCCGCAGAAGTGGGTGCACCCCGAGGCGGCCGCGCTCTTCCACGCGGCGCCGTGCACACAGCACATCCCGATCTTCAGCAAGAGCTTCGAGGGCTACGGGCCGCGCTGCGTCTCGTCGCTCGGTCTGTGCTACTTCCTCAACAAGGGACTCGCCAACTATCTCATGTCCTACTCCCGCTTCGCCATGTTCACCGACCGCTTCGGCATCGACGGCACGCGCTACCAGCGTCTGCAGAGTATTTCAAAGATGGGGTGGTCCGTCAAGGCCTTCACCGCGTCGCTGTCGGACGCCTTTGCGCTGTTCGGCTACACGAAGCGGTGGTACTGCGGCAGCTCGGCAGTGCTCGGCGGTGCCTTTGCCCTAGGGTTTGCCCTTCTACCCCAGAAGACGGCCTCTGCCGACATCGCCGCTGGGTTTCTCTTCCTCAGCAACTTCTGCATGGCGAACATCGATATCCTGTCGGAGGGCCACTACAGCCGTCTCATGCGCCAACACCCCGACTCGGGCCCTGCGCTCGTCAGCTTGATCTGGTGGTTCATCCTGGCGGCCTCGATCGTCTCCGCTGCGATTCAGGGCCCGCTGTCCGACATGAAGAAGCCGCAGATCGGCCTCTACGTGTCGGCTGCCTGCCAGTTCGTCTCGACCGTCTTCTTCATCTTCAACTGGTTCGACGAGCGCAGGAACCGCGAGGAGCGCCTGGGCGACGCCCGCGCGCTGCACGCCGAGATCTACAAGCTGCAGATCGAGGCGAGGCGTGAACACGACGTGCTGGCGGATGTGGTGGCGGGCGCAGCGAAAGACCTGCACCCCGAGCACGACGACGAGCCGTCGAGCGACCACAACTCGCAGCAGCACCTGAGCGATGAACTCGTGTTGGGTGCCGACGTCGGTGTGGACGCCGCGGAGGAGGACGAGATGTGGTCCACTTTCGAGGAGCCGAAGGCCATTTCGCTCTGCTGCGGTGCGGTAGAGTTCAACAAGGAGGTGTGCCTGCGCAACTGGCGCGTGCTGGTGTACTCTGCGGTGATGGTGTGCTCCGCGGTGGCGATGACGTGTGTGACCATTCTCGGCACAACATGGGACCTCTTCTACGCGGCCATCGCCGTCGCCGTGGTGAACTGTGCGTTGGCCTTCTGGGCCACTCCGCTGGTGATCGCCAAAGCCATCGTCTTCATCTACTTCAACATGCTCCTCTACCTGCAAATCAACGGCGCGATGGACAGCTTCTACATGGCCAAGGAGGAGTGCTACCCGGACGGTCCGCACTTCTCCTACGTCTTCTACACGACGATTGCGGCGATCATCGGCAACATCGGCGGCATGGTGGGCGTGACCGCCTTCACGTACATCTTCTCCAAGCACAGTTACTGCATGACTTTCATCGTGACCACCATTGTGCAGGTGCTCGGCTCCATCTTCGACATCATCATCGTGGAGCGGTGGAACCTCTACATCGGCATTCCGGACCACGCCATGTACATCATGGGCGACTCGATCGTGTACGAGGTGTGCTACATGCTCTCCTTTATGCCGATGATTGTCCTCATATCCCGCATCTGCCCGCGCGGGTCGGAGAGCATGATCTACGCCCTCGTTGCGAGCTTTGCGAACATGGGCCAGTCCATGTCCAGCACGATTGGCTCGATTCTGCTGGAGAAGGCGTGGCCCATCGTGACGAAGGGCGCTGGAAAGTGCGACTATCACAACTTGTCATTGTTGCTGGTGGTGGGTCACTTGTGCTTGCCGATGCTGATCGTTCCGCTGAGCTTCCTGCTGCTGCCGCGTGCGCGCATCTGCGACGACATCGACGTGGACGGCCACGTGATTCGTGTCGAGACGAAGCGCCGCATGGCGAAGCTGGAGACGAACTCGTCCTCGGAGGAGACCGCGGAGGAGCCCTTCCGCTCCGGCGATGGCGAAGGCGAAGGCCGGAAGTAAACGATCCGAATGCAATGCACACAACGCACATGAAGGGTGGCGAAACGGTGCGTGCTCGTGTCCGTCAGCGCTGAAGGTTTATGAACGAGTTGCCCCGCGGCTACTTTCGGCATCTGTGTCGGTCACTTCACCAGCACCTAATCTTCACTCTGCGTGTTTCTTACCTTCCTCATGCAATCATTCTCGCTCCTTCCCTCTTACATCTTTGCGCATCGCCGATGGACGGCCATGCACACATCTGCGGCTTTTCCCCTTACTGCTCTTTCCAGTACCCAAGGGAGCTGTCGACGCCGTCGTGTGTGTGTGTGGGGGGCCTCTCGCTCAAGCCGGTTCCCCAAAACTGTTGACTACACGAGAGTGTGTTCGATTTTTTTCTTTGTTGGTCTTTCTTTCGTTTCCACGAGCAGCACTGCCGTTGATACCGTCGAGTAGCGATTGCTGCCACCGACAAATCAACCACTACGCCCGCATGACGCTCGTTTGAAAGCTTCTAATTCTGTTTTGTTACCCATTCCCTCCGCCTGACGAAGAGAGCAGTGGATGAAATCCGTAAGCACAACTCGGTCATCTGTCGTTCGAACGTCAAGGTGCAGGACAGGCAAACACCCCTGACCCCCTCCCTCCCTCCCTCCTTGTTTTCTACCCTTCCCACCTCTCTAGTTTCAGTATTTATATTCATATATATAATAGAATAAAAAACGCAGGCTTTTCAACTTCATTATTGTTGGCGATGCAGAATGATGATCTCCTCATTGTTTCTGTTTTCTCTTTTTTCTTTGTAGCCTCATGCACTCTTCGTTCGTGTTGGAGCCAAAGCTCACCTGGCCACCCACGAACCGTCAGCGTGTGCGCAACGAGGTCCCCCGTCGCATATCTGCGACCATCAATGTGGCTTCAAACTACCGTTGAATTTCTCTTTTATCCCATTCCGTATATCCATCGCCTCGTTTCTTGTGAAACGGACGGAGGATTGTGGCCGACACTTTACCCGCGCTTCTCACTTTCCTTCAGTGTTGTATCTCCCCCGTGAAGGTGAAGAAAAGGAAGAAAAATATGTCTGAAGACTACACGAATTTATTTTAAACAAAAGTAGGATGTGTGCGCCCCACTCCGTTTCCACAACCTCCGAATACTGTATTATTATTATTATTTTGTCTTCCTGCTATGTTGTGTGTTCCGTTAATTACTTTCAAGTATATATATATATATATACACTTCCACCCTTTACGCTTACGTTGCCCGCGATCACGGAATGAGAAACTGCTCCTACTTCAGCCAGCTACGCTCCTTTAGTTACAAGCAGTGCTCTTTGGTGCGATTGGGCTTTTTTTTGTCTCCCCCGTATTAGCAGAGAAGGCAATCTGTGCTTTCCTCCACTCTACCGCTGCGTCGCATCTCGCCAGAACCTTTTTTTTTTCCCGCGGACAGAGTGGAGCTGCGGCCTTCGACGAGTTCAGCGTTCCACTGATTCTCACTCGTTTGCTGCCAGCTCGCTTCACCTTTTCTTTTCCCTGTTCTCTTCTTTACTACGCATTTTGATGATCCTCTTTTCCCCCATTAATTCTGTGTTGTACACCGCGAACGCCGTTTTTCGTTAAAGCAAAAGAGGAGAAAGAGAAAGAGAAATATGCATTAGCAACGAACAATATTGGAGAAGTGGCAGAAAGAAGGGAGGTTGAGACGGGAGAGAAACACGGAGTGGAAAAAGCACCATTATTGGTCTTCTCTCTTCTCTTTTTTTTTCTTATGTTGGCCGCGCAGTCGTTGCGTGCACGGTCTGGAAGTGATGCATTCAACTAAGCCGCATCGGACCCATTCGACGCCCGAGCTGCCGCGCTGCCTTGTGCAACGAAGGGAGCCTCGCAGCGGCGTTGGCGGCGTCTTCCCTCGTCTCTCTCTGACTTTTCTATCGTTTTTGTTTTCCTTTGCGCCCGGCCTGTGCGCCACACCGTCTTTGAACACGTTCCTTCTCCTTCTCCTTCTCCACCTGTCTCGGCCCTCCTCCCTCCCCCGGTTTCCACCCCGATCCTTCGACTCTGCTCCTTCCGTACCTTCACACACTCCCTCCCCTGCCTCCCAAAATACTACCACATCCCCAATGACAGTTTCTTCTTCGCGCTGTCGCTTCATCGCTCCTCCCTCCCATCGCTCTTTCCCCCCTGCCGCGTACTCGTGCCACCACTCCCATCTCTACGCACTTTTTAAATATATATCCCCCCAAAAAGATGCCTGCCATCTACGTGAAGAGCGACAAGGTGTGCTACACCGACTCCTCGATCGAGACGCAATACGACTACCACAGCACCCGCGTCAGCCGCGGCGCGAATGGCACGGTGGAGGTTGAGCCCATCACGCACCACCTGATGTTCAAGACGGAGCGCAAGGTGCCACGCGTTGGCGTGATGCTGGTCGGGTGGTGCGGCAACAACGGCACGACGGTGACAGCCGGCATCCTGGCGAACCGGCTGGGCCTCTCGTGGCGCACCCGCCGCGGGACGCAGTCGGCGAACTACTTCGGCTCCATCACGCAGTCCAGCACCATCAACATGGGTATGACCCGCGACATGCAGGAGACGTTCGTGCCGATGAAGGACGTCGTGCCGATGCTGTCGCCGAACGACATGGTGATTGGGGGCTGGGACTGCAATAACATGAGCCTCGGGGACGCGATGCGGCGTGCCGGGGTGCTGGATGTGCAGCTGCAGGACGCCCTGTACGAGCACATGCAGGCGCTGCACCCCCTGCCGGCCATCTTCGACATCGACTTCGTCGCGGCGAACCAGAAGGAGCGCGCCAACAACGTCCTCGTCGCGCGCGATCGGTGGGACGCGGTGGAGCGCGTGCGCAGCGACATCCGCAACTTCAAGTCGGCGAACCAGCTGGACAAGGTGATCGTCCTGTGGACGGCGAACACGGAGCGCTTCAGCGAGCACCTCGACGGGATCCACGACACGGCGGACAACCTGCTCGCTGCGGTAAAGCGTAACGAGCGCGAGATTGCGCCGTCGGCCCTGTACGCGATGGCCGCCATTCTGGAGAAGTGCAGCTTCATCAACGGCTCGCCGCAGAACACGCTGTGCGCAGGTCTGATCGAGATGGCCCGCGCCGCGCAGGTGTTTGTCAGCGGCGACGACTTCAAGAGCGGACAGACGAAGATGAAGAGCGCACTCGTGGAGTTCTTCGTGGGCGCCGGCATCAAGCCGGAGTGCATCGCGAGCTACAACCACCTCGGCAACAACGACGGCTACAACCTGTCGGCGCCGAAGCAGTTCCGCTCGAAGGAGATCACGAAGAGCAACGTGGTGGACGACATGGTCGCGTCCAACTCCATTCTGTTCCCGCCAGGGACGCCGAAGCCGGACCACTGCATCGTGATCAAGTACCTGCCGTACGTGGGGGACAGCAAGCGCGCGATGGACGAGTACACCTTCTCCATCTTCTTGGGTGGGCAGCAGACGGTGGTGCTGCACAACACGTGCGAGGACTCGTTGCTGGCGGCGCCGCTGATCATCGACTTGCTGGTAATGACGGAGCTCATGGAGCGCGTGACGATCAGCGCGAGTAACGGGACGCAGACGCCTCCGGAAGACTCTTTCGAGCACATGGAGACGGTGTTGTCGATCTTGTCGTATCTGCTGAAGGCGCCGGCGGTACCGGCCGGTACGCCCGTGGTGAACGCGCTGAACCGGCAGAAGTCTGCGATCGAAAACGTGCTGCGTGCGATGGTGGGGCTGCCGGCGGAGAACAACATGCTGCTGGAGTGCCGTGTGCCCTTCATGCGCGAGGAGCACGTCAACGGCGAGTGCGCCGACCCCACCGCGTGAGCAGCAGAAGCAGCAGTAGCCGTCGCGGTGGCTGGCCCTGGGACGGCCAGCTGCCCATGCCCCCGTCTCCCGCGCAAAGCTCTTTTTAAAGACTTTTTTGTGTTTTAACATTCTCCATGCTTTCCCTCCTCACCCCCTTTTGTGCGACATAGAATGACTCTTGTGCGACCCCCCGCCAGCTGCTCCCCTCCCTCACGCGTTGCCATCCGGCCTCTCTTTTCTTTCTGGTGTTTCTCGCTCGACTGGATCTGTGCACCTATCCACGCCGCCTCTCCTATTTCTTCTTCCTTCCCGCTTCTTACTGCCCACCTGCGGATCTCTTGCACCACCCCACACGTCCGTGGCGGCGCTGCTCGGCGGGTGCGCAAAAACGTGCGTGGAGGCGAATGAAAGAAAGAAAGAAGGAGAGGGGAGAGAGGGAGAGAGAGAGAGAGAACGAATGCGATGAGAGGAGGGAGCAGGCTCGCTGCCGGCGCTGCGACTCTCCTCCAACGCGGCTCTGCCTTCATGCGTGGAACGATTGAGGTGCGGCACTGCACGGCAGCGTGCGATTTGTAAAACAATCCTGGACTGGTGCAACGTTCTACACTTCCCCATTTTCATATATATTTCTATTCGAATTCGTTGTTTCCCTTTGTATTGCTCACTGCGACTAATCATTCTTCCTGTTTTTGAAAAATTTTCTGTTGCAGCTCACCTTAATTTAAAAATGATAAGGCAACCGGGATCCAATGAACTCGGGCCTCGCAAACGTTGCCGTTCCTTTCGTGTTTCTCTCCCCCGTGTGTGCCTGTCGTCGCGGCACGTACTTTGCGCAAAGGTCGAGTTCAAGTTAAGAGCTTCTCAGCTGTGGTGGCATCCGTGATGGAGCAGAGCACCGGTTTCCCGTGTTCACCACGACGCGGCGTCAAACGCGCCTCCTCGTTTCTTTAATTGTCATGCTTTCGTGTTTATGTGTAGAAGGCAGTTGAACAAAAAACGCACCCTCATCTCCTCTTTCCCCCTTTCTTTTCTTTCCCTTCGCCAACGAACCGCATTTGACCAATCTCTCGTGTTCCTGCCTCCTATCGTTCACAACAACGTATTGCGCTGGCCGTTTGGTGCTCTTGGTCCGTTGACGCCGACGTCTTGGTATCGACGCAGAAACCAAAAATAACTGCGAGGGCTTTCATTTCCGCACCTGACGAACCCCATTACGCCCTCGTTGCCACTGACGGCGTCTCAGCTTCACCTCACCACACCTGCAGCCTTCACTCCGTCCGCCTTTCACATTTGTCAAAAAGAAGACAGCAAGGAAAAATGAGTCGTCCACTGCAGGAACTGACTTCGATCCCCCCCTCGCGCCGGCCCAGCGAGATCGACCGGCCCGACGGCAGCGGCGGTGACACGGACGACTACATCCACCCCGATGCCGTGGCTCTGTTCAACAAGGCTCCGTGGGCGCGTAAGATTCCCGTATTCGGCATGAGCTGCGAGGGCTACGGACCGAAGTGCACCGTCGCGCTCAGCCTGGTCTACTTCCTCAATAAGGGCTTCGGCAACAACTTGATCACCATCTCCCGCTACGCCATGTTCGTGAACCGCTTCGGCCTGACTGGCACGCGCTACCAGCGTTTGAGCAGCATCGCGAGCATGTCGACCTCCGTGAAAGCCATCACCGCCGTGCTGTCGGATACCTTCGCGCTGTGCGGCTACACGAAGCGGTGGGCGTGCGGCGGGTCGTGTGTGGTGGGTGCCGCCTTCACGCTGGCCTTCGGTCTGCTGCCGGCCACCGTAGCGAGCGGCAACTCCGGCGCCGGCTTCCTCTTTCTGGCGAAGTTCTGCATATCGAACGTGGACATCCTGTCGGAGGGCCACTACAGCCGTCTGATGCGGCGCCACCCGAAGTCGGGCCCTGCGCTTGTGAGCTGGATCTGGTGGTTCATCCTGGTCGCCTCGCTCGTTGCGGCGTGCGTGCAGGGCCCGCTGTCCGACATGCAGAAGCCGCAGGTGGGTCTCTTCATCTCCGCTGCTGTGCAGGTTGTTTGCGTGGTGTTCTTCGTGTTCAACTGGTACGGCGAGCGCCCGAATCGCGTGGAGCGGGCCATTGATCGGCGTGTGAAGCTCCGCGAGCTGAACGGGTCCAGCCCCCACAGCGGCGAGGACCTTCTGGCGCCGGGCGACGGCATCGAGGGCCGGAAGAAGCTGAACCCCGAGAACGACAGCGACCGCGAGCCGGCCGCTCTGCATGATGAGATCGTGCAGGGCGACTGCGTGCTGGTGCCGGATGACGCCGTGCCGGAGGATGAGCTGAACGACGACGACATGGACCCGGAGGTTGTGTCGCTCTGCTGCGGTGCGGTGGAGGTGAACACCGGCGTGGCGCGGCGCAACTGGCGCATCATCGTGTACAGCGCCATCATGACGTGCGCCGTGGTAGCCTTGGCGTGTGTAACGATCCTCGGCAGCACGTGGGACCTACTGTGGACCTCCATCGCCGTCTGCGTCGTTGCCACGGTCGTGTCGTTCCTCTTCCTGCCCATGATGATCGCGAAGGCGAACACGTACTTCTACATCCACATGACGCTCTACCTGCAGTTCAGTGGCGCGATGGACAGCTTCTACATGGCGAAGAAGGAGTGCTACCCGGATGGCCCGCACTTCACCTTCACCTTCTACAACACGATCGCCTCCGTGATCGGCAACATCGCCGGCATCGCTGGCGTGACCGCCTTTGCGTACATCTTCTCCAATCAGGGCTATCGCTTCACGCTGATCGTGACCATCCTGATCCAGATCGTGGCGTCCATCTTCGACATCATCATCGTGGAGCGGTGGAACCTCTACATCGGCATTCCGGACCATGCGATGTACATCATGGGCGACGCCATCGTTTACGAGGTGTGCTATTATCTGGCGTGGATGCCGATGGTGCTGCTACTGTCGCGTGTGTGCCCGCGCGGGTCGGAGAGCATGATCTACGCTCTCGTTGCCAGTAGCGGTAACTTAGGCTCCGGCATGGCCAGCACGATTGGCTCGATTCTGCTGGAGAAGGCGTGGCCCATCGTGACGAAGGGCGCTGGAAAGTGCGACTTCCGCAACCTGACGATGCTGCTCCTCGTCGGTCACTTCTGTCTTCCGCTGCTGATCATTCCGATTTCGTTCCTCCTGATCCCCTCTGCGCGTGTCTGCGATGACATCGACGTGGACGGCCACGTGATTCAGAAGGGGAGCAAGCCGCACGAGCCTTCGAGTGCCTCGACGGAGGGTGCCCCAGACTCGATGGCGGAGGCGGTAGTCACAGGAAGGCCCTCTGCTCGTGAGGACTCCCAGTAAGGAAGGTGGTTCGCTCACCCTTTCTCTCTTGTTTTCTACTTGGTTCGTCTCTCCGACGAGACCTTCACGCAGGCGAGAAAACCCTAGGAATGTGCGGGTGCGGATCAGCATTGGAGGTAGGTGTCCTGCAGCACCTGCTTTAAAGTATGCGGCTGCGGAGTCAGCCCCTCTTCTGTGCAGAGAGGCGCCGTGGTAACTGTGGCTGATGAAACCGTGTGTGTGTGCGTGTGTGTGTGGAAGCGCTCCAAGAAGAATGGAGCGCGGTGGAGATGAGCTGGCGTCCCTGCCCCTGTGGCTTGTCTTCAACACACATCGTTACTCGCCGCCGCTTTTTTCGCCACACAGACACACGATGTGTCCGATGACTCTGATTGTTTCGGATGCCGAAGATGCCCCTGCTGCCTGCGAATAAGCGGGATGACGCACGCATCGGGATGCACCCACGCCCATCTTATCTTTCTTCTCTGTCTGCTTATTAACGCCTTATACCCCACTTTAACTGCATCACAAATGATCTCTTCTCGCTTCTTTCGTTTGTGACTATTGTACTGTGTGGATTCGTGTTTACGTTAGCGTTTTTGATTTCCCCCTTCTGCCATCCTACACCTCCCTCCCCCTTTCTTTCTATATATATATATTAGTTTCATTGTGGTATTCTCGTCGCGATTGTTTGCGTTGTCGAGTCTGTTATATACAAGCAAAGGAAGGTTCTTTCACGGAAGAAAGAAAAATAAAGCAGAGCAGATATCTGTCATCACTTGGCGTTAGCGTATCCGCTGCGGACGGGTGTTTTCCCTGCGGCTCTCTGAAGCTCGAACCCCGCGCCGTCTTGCTTTTTTTTTCTCTTCTCATCCGTGCTTTTCTCTTTTTATTTCTGGGGCTGTCGCGCCGCCACTTTCTTGGTACACGTGCTACTTGATAGAGTGCCGTCGATGACTCCCGTGTTTGCTTTTCTCTCTCTTTCTTTCTTTCGAAGTAACGAAGTAACCTAACCTCCCACTATTGTATACCTATCTATTTCTCTTTAAGTTTCTGTGAGTGTGTGTGTGTGTGTGTGCGGATAAGATTCTGTTTGTGCTGCTATGGCAGCACTGAGACGCAGCGTGGTGTAGCCGTTCACTTTCCCGTGACGGCGACCTCACTGTTGTTCTCTTGCGTAAGCACGAGGTGATCGAAAATGGAAAGATGAGCTTGCGCTTTCGTCATGCGACGATAATCGTGACTACTGTTTCTTTAGGACGGCGCGCACTCTATCACGTTGCACATCGACTGTTCAGCTGTCCCTAATTCATGTGTCTTTCGCATGAAGAACTATGTCTTTTTCTCTTTTTCGGTACGTCACTTGCTATCGCATTCCACCTACAGAGTCCTTGATGAAACCGCGATGGGTTACGTGGATCGAAGAGTATTTTGTCACGTACATTCGCAAGACAGAAGACCAGCAACAAGTGGCAGCAAACGTGGAAACGAAGCGCATTGGAGGAAGCAATGAGCAAAGGCTTTTAATGCCGCTGTCGTACTTCGATGAGTTGATCAACGTCATCATTATTATCACAATCCTTGGTCTGCTAGTGCAGCCAGGCGATTTTGAAGGAGGCACTCTTTCCCTTGCTCTGTCGCGATGGATGCCGTTTCGCCATCTCCTTTCTCTGTCCACAATCTTGCAATTCGAGTATGGCGTGCCCCCCTTATCCTCCTTCTCGTCCTTTTATCCTTCCTTTTCTCTTTTACAAAACGACATTACTTTCCACCCTCTGTCTTATAAGATTTTCAGCGATAATTTACTCCCATTTTTTATTTTTCTCTCTGTGAAGACTGCCACCTCCTGTCGTAACTACCGTGTGTTCAATTTGTTCTTTTCTCGGAAGGCCTCTCACGTAATTTTTTGTGTTTTCCCGTTACTAGCGTTCAGCGCCCCGTCTCGTAGTGGTGCTTTACATCTTCCCCTTCTTTTTTCTTTAAACACCGTAGAAAGGGAAAAAAGAAAAGGTTTCCCGTGCAAAACGAACTGTTGTTGTGCTATCGCCTCCAACATCGCGCGTTTCTTCTGTTCCACCGTCCTCGTGAAAAACAAAACAAGCAAGTAAATCATTCTCCTCTAAATTTGGATCGCGAGACACGCACAACCACGCTGGTGTTGTCGTACTATTACCTGGCGCTATCACCGGTGTCTTTCACACTTTCTTTTTCTCTTCTGCTCAGGTTGCAGCCGGAGAATAAATCTGCGACTTCCTTCTCTCGACAGAGGCAGCTTACACCGAAAGCAGCGGAGTTCAGAGCACGATGAGCCGCACCACTGCACCGCCGGTGCGTTTCGCTGAGCGACACATCGCGCACATCAACAAATGCTACTGCGTCGCGCCGTACGTCTCCCGCCGCGAGCCACAACGGGCGATGTTCCTGGTCGCAGCGGAGCAGAACGACCCCTGTTTTGTGTACGACATTGACGGTAAGCCCGTGGAGAAGGTGTGGGACGGGCCCGGCGGTGTGATGAGCATGGTGCAGCTGCCGGAGATGGACGGTCGCACCGTGCTCTCGACGCAGCGGTTTTACGGCTTCGACAACTCGGAGGATGCCCGGCTGGTCGTGGCGAAGGCGCTGACGATGGAGCCCGCCGAGGATGCGGTGGAGCGGTGCGCGTGGCGCCGCTTCGTGGTGGCGGATATGCCGTTTCTACATCGCTTCGATGTGGTGCCGGGCCGGGGCAGCGGCAACACGGACCGCTACATCATCGCCTGCACCCTCAAGCGCAATCAGCGCGAGCCGGGCGACTGGTCGCAGCCGGGCCAGGTGCTGGCGGCGCGCCTGCCCAACGACTTCGACGATCTCCTCCCGACCAACTGGCGGGAGATGCCGGAGTGGAGCCCTCTGCAGACTCCGCTGTCGTGGAAGGTGCTGCGGGAGGGATGCTTCCGGAACCACGGCTATCACCGGCACACCGATCCCGTGAGCGGGGAGGTGAACTGCGTGATTGGGTGCGAGGCAGGCACGTTTCTCTTTCGCCCCCCCACTGTGGGCAGCGATGAGTGGGACAGCACGCAGCTCACGGCGGACCCGGCGAGCGACGCCGCCCTCGTCGATCTCGACAGGGACGGGGCTGAGGAGCTGCTGGTCATCGCACCCTTTCACGGCGACACGATCATGGTGTACCACAAAAATGAGGAAGGGGCGTACCAACGCGTCTACACCCACCCAACAAAGCTGCCGTTTCTGCACGCGATCTGGGGTGGGGTGTTGGACGATGTCCCATGTGTTGTGGTCGGCCACCGCAGCGGCGACCGTGACTTGTTTCTCTTCTCCTACTCCAAGTCGAAGGGCTACCACGTGGACCGCGTCGCACACGGCTTCGGGCCGGCGAACGTGATCAACGTAAAACACACCAAAGAAGGCGAGAGCCGCGTGCGTGAGAGCATCGTGTGCTGCAACCGTGAAACGGACACGGTCACCGTGTACGACGTTGTTCCAAAGAACGCGTAAAGCTCTCGTTTCTCCCTCCCCCCTCCTATTAATTTCTTTACCTTTTTTTTTACCTTTTCATTTCTTTCCTTTCCGAGAGTCTCCTACTTTAATACCATCAAACCCATTCCGTTCGTCAGTTACGGCGAAGACTGCTGTGTAAGTTGAGGCACAAGTGCTGGAAGCCGCTTCGTTTTTATCTCCTTCTAAAAGTATTCCCAGCATTCGTCTTTGCATCCTGCCATCTAACCACGGTACCTTTCATAAGGACGAAAGTCGACCCACTTCAGCTAATGACGCGGGTACTCAAAAGTTGTGTGGGCGACGTCGTCCGTTGAACCTCTTACCACTCCTTCTCTTCTCGTTCCTCGTGTTCTTCTTTTGTTTATGTGTTTTACTGGGCAGCAACACGTGTGCGCGTGGCTTCAGCTCTTCCATTCGCATTACCTATCGAATCCCTCAATTTATGCACCGTCGCCGTCGTGCCTTTCCCGCACGTCCCCCTCAAAAACGTTTCGATTGTCGAGCTGCTGTGCTGCGCCACTCCGTCGTGTGCTGACTCGTGCGCCTCCCCCTTCTCTCTCCGCCGCGTCCTTTCCCTTCGCCGCTGCTGTTCGACCTGCTTCGACGCCCACAGTCTCCAGCGCGACCGCCATCACAATGAACAACGACGAGCGCTACGCCCTTCTCCGCAGCGTCGGTGAGGAGTGCATCCAGGAGAACGAACTGCGCAACCTCATCGCGAAGAAGCCCAACATCCGCTGCTACGACGGGTTCGAACCGTCTGGCCGCATGCACATCGCCCAGGGCATCTTCAAGGCGGTAAACGTCAACAAATGCACGGCTGCCGGGTGCGAGTTCGTGTTCTGGGTGGCAGACTGGTTCGCGCTGATGAACGACAAAGTCGGCGGCGAGCTGGAGAAGATCGGCGTGGTCGGCCGCTACCTGATCGAGGTGTGGAAGGCGGCGGGCATGGACATGGAGAAGGTGGTCTTCCTGTGGAGCAGCAAGGAGATCACGAGCCACGCGGATGTGTACTGGCGCATGGCGCTGGATGTCGGCCGGCAGAACACGATCGCCCGTATCAAGAAGTGCTGCACCATCATGGGCAAAGTCGAAGGCACGCTGACCGCCGCGCAGATCCTCTACCCCCTCATGCAGTGCACCGACATTTTCTTCTTAAAGGCGGACATCTGCCAGCTGGGCCTGGACCAGCGGAAGGTGAACATGCTGGCCCGCGAGTACTGCGACGTGGTCGGCCGCAAGCTGAAGCCCGTCATCCTCTCGCACCACATGCTGGCAGGCCTGAAGCAGGGACAGGCGAAGATGAGCAAGAGCGACCCCGACAGCGCCATCTTTATGGAGGACACCGAGGAAGACGTGGCTCGCAAGATCAACCAGGCCTACTGCCCGCGTGTAGCGCAGGCGGAGCAGGACGTGACGGACGACGGGGCGCCGGTGGCCACCGATGACCGCAACCCAGTGCTCGACTACTACCGCTGCATCGTGTACGCTCGCCCGGGCGAGGCCGCGACGATCAACGGCGTGCGGTACACCACGTACGAGGATCTGGAGAGCGCTTTTGTGAAGGAGCAGGTCAGCGAGGCGGAGGTGAAGCAGTGCCTCATCGACGAGGTCAACGCGCTGCTCGCCCCGGTTCGTCAGCACTTCGCCACCAACGCCGAGGCGCACGAGCTGTTGGAGGCGGTGAAGTCGTTCCGTAAAGGCGGCGCCGCCTCTCCGCTCGCCGAGACGCAGCTGCCGCCGGGACCGGAGAAGCCGCACGCCTGCATGTGGATGCCGGCCCTGCTGAAGGTGCCTCTCGACGTCGCGGAGGCGATGGTCGAGGCGGCGAAGAGCTTCCTCGCGGCGCACCCCGATGGCAGCGTGACGCTGATCTTGCCGGACTGGTCGGCCGTGGCGAGCGACGAGATCACCGGCGTGGAGAAGGACATCAGCGCTGCGCTCGAGGTGAACTCCGCTCTTCTCCATTCCTACGGCCTGCCAGCGGCGGTGAAGATTGTGAAGGAGAACGACGTCATCTTGGCCAACAGCAATGACTACTGGGTTGGCGTCATCTCCGTTGGCCGCAAGAACCTGCTGAGCCACATCGAGGAGCTCTACGGCGGTGAGGTGAAGAACGCGGGCCAGGTGATCGCCGCCCTCATGCGCGTGGCGACGGCGCTGCTGCTATCCGCCTCGCACGTCATCTCTACCTCGCTGGACGGCCAGCTGAACACGTTGTCGCGCGAGTACACGAAGGAGCGCATCGAGTGCCTGCAGACACACGAGGGGAGCATTCCCCCGCTGCACCGCCCCGACGCGGCCCCGGCACTGCTCGGAGCGGATGACGTGCTGTACCTCGACGACGGCGACATGGACATCCGCCGCAAGATCAAGAAGGCGTACTCGGCCCCCAACGAGAGCGCCAACCCCGTCGTCGCCATTGCGCAGCACCTGCTGACCTTCCACGGCCCCCTCAGCATCGAGCGCGGGGAGGCGAACGGCGGTAGCGTGACGTACGAGAAGCCGGAGGCCATCGCGGCGGACTGCGGCAGCGGCGCGCTGCACCCCGCGGACCTCAAGGCGGCGGTGTCGAAGGCGCTGCTGGAGCGCTCCGCCCCGTCGCGTGCGCTGCTCAGCGGCCCTCTCAAGAAGAGCCTGACGGTGCTCCGCAACGCGGAGAAGAAGATGACCAAAAAGAAATAAAACAACGGAGGGCGCGGAGCGTAATAAGCCATCGAGAGTAGCACAGACAGAACGCGGTTTGTGGTATCCGGCTTTCTTTATTATTATCATTTCGGTGGGTGCGTAGTGGCCAGTGGAGAGGCGTTTGAGCTCAACATCTTTGATGGCATCGCTGGCGGCGGGCTCTGCGGTGTAATTGGTGTGCGTCTTGTGTTCCCATAGCAGCGTGATTAATAAAACCAGCTTGTGCTTGCGTGTGTGTGTGTGTGGAGGCGGTCTCGCGCTGCACGGTGGAGTTTTGTCTAACTAACCCGGAGGGTAATCTGCGAAGCAAACTGATTGGAAAACAACAACTCTGACCTTGTGGTTCTTCTCCGCTGTTACCAGACATGTGCGGTTGATGGAGGAAGGTGGGGGAGGTCACCGAACCAAATGCGCTGTGCCCTACACGACCCGTACAGTTCCACTGTCGCACCCTTACCTCTTTTTTTTTTTCGATTCACCACCGAATCGTTGAACCACCGAACGTCAACATGACCGAGGCATCGATTTTTATTCGGTGAGTGAATGATAGAAAGAAAGAGAAGTGAAGACGGCGGCCGTTCTCTACACCCTCTTCGCTTTTCTTTCATCGTTTTTGTTTCTCATTGACACTCTTTGTTCCCATCCTTGTCTTTCTGTTCTGCCACGTCAACAACAGGCTCACAGATAATCCGTCAAAAAAGTGTATATATTTGTAGTCTGTGTGCTCTCTGCCCTAATGTGGTCTGCGCACCCGCCCCATCCACGAACAGTGGGGGACGTCTTGCGAAGGCCGTTCAGCTGCAAATCCACGCTGTCGTCCGCGGCTGCCACTCGCTCGTCCCTCCGCTGCCCCTCTGAGGAGCGACCGACTTTTCTCACGGAGGCAGACGCCTCACTGGCGCAGCGTCCCGTGCGGCCTCCATCCCAGCCGCGAGGGCAGTCGGCCCCCGGCCCCTGCAAACCGCCATCCGGTGCACCGCCGCACTTGAGGAACGACCCTCCAAGTTCTCCGCCGTGTGAGGGTGCGGCGCCGCACGAGACGCACAAGACGCGCCTCCTCCAGCGCACCCGCCGCCCCGTCGACGAGGCTCTCTTCTGCGCGCTGCGGATGGAGGGAGAGGGCACGGTGGCGGCACAGCTCCGCCAGCTCGGCCCCGAGCGACTCACGAGCGACTTCCGGCTCTTCTGCTGCCGCCTCAGCATGCACAACGTTACCGCGGCTCAATTCACGTTCCTGTGCGCTGCCGTGCTGAATGCGGCGGTGTCGCAGCGGGACTGCGAGGTGGTCTTTGCGTTCCTGCGCACCGAGCAGGGCGTCGGCAGCCTCGACGTGGCGGAACTGCTGTCGCGGCTCCGCACTCTTTTTGTCTCGTCGGACGTCCTCTATGCCTTGCAGCTGAAGCGGATGTTAGAAACGAACGCGCTGAGCGAGTGCGCGGTGTCGATGGATGAGCTGCAGAAAGCCTTCGCAGGACTGCAGCGCCTTCTTGAACCCAGTACCGTGGAGCGTCAAGTCTCGCTGCAGCTGAAGACGCTGTACGCGGAGTTGTCCCGCATTCACGCGCAGTACGCCGTGCTGGTGCCGACGTTTCGCGCGGAGGCGCGGCGGCTGGCCCCGGCGTTGTGCGCCGTTGTGCAGTCGCTGGGCTGGGACGGGGCGTGGGAAGACGAGAAGAAGAGCGTCGCCCTCTCCACTACGTCCGGCGCTGCCACCGCGGCCACACCGTCCGCCGAGGCCGCCTGCACCTCCCCGGTTGCGGTGACGGCAACGTCGCCCACGGTCGTGCTGTCTACCGTGACGGAGCTCTACCGCCAGCGGCTGGCGGCACAGGAGACGGCAGAGCAGGCCCGCGAAGCGGGGCGCTTCGGCGGCAGCTTTGGTGCTGCGGCATGCCGTGCGATCCGCCACTCCGCCTGGCGCACGTCAGACTCCGTCGTGGATGTCACGAACCCACACTTTCTTGCGGATGCCTACGCAACAGGACGCGTCGTCTGCTCACAGGACTAGCTGTGTGCGTGTGCGTCTGTGTGAGGCGGAGGCTTGTCGGTCCGTATCCCTCTGTATCTTGCCTGTTTTTTCTTCTTTCTGTTCTGTTCTGTTCCCCCGACCGCACGCAACTTATACGCACGGCGTTGCGCGACGAAGTTTGACGCACCGAGGCGAGGTCATATTTGTTATGTTAAATACGTTGTGGATGGGCAATGAATTGGCAATGTACCAAAGCCTCACATATATATATATTCCTTTTTTTGTCTCTTTACCGATAGCCATTTCTCCGGAGTGATGTGTGTTTTTAATCAAAGCGCAGCAGCAACAGCTACTAAGTCCCGAAATAGCGAGAGAAGGAGGGGAGAGAGGGAGATGACGGTAGTGATTGGAATTGCTTGCTTTTGTTGAAATTTATATTTATTTTTTTGTATTCTTCTCTTTTCTTTTTCTTAAAGCTATTGACAAAGTGCGCTCTTTTTCTTCCTCTTGTGCAATACGCGCCGACATTACCTTCGCAGCCGTGCTGCTTTATATATATTCAGACGAATACGGAAGACTCACGCAGCGACGGTGCGGCTGCGTGTTTATGTGTGAAACACAACCACAACGGAAGGATGTTTTTCTCCTCCTTTTACACCACATTAGCGTCGCACCACGAACCTTCATGGTGCGTTCAGGCTGTTTTCAGGAGGGAGAAATCGCTCAATCAACTTGGTAATCAACGTGGCTACTCGCGCTTCACTTGGGGTCACACGTTTTTCTCTTAAATGAACTTTTCCTCTCGTTCTTTCGCACTCACCCAATTGAAGGATGCGGCGTGACTTTGCAAGCGTGAGCAACACCACACACCACGCACACACACACACTTACACACAACTCGTGACATCTTCCGCTCCTCTCACTCCTCGACAGTTGAAAAAGGTTACCGACTTCATAATACCTCTTCACTTCTCTAGTAGGGTCTAAAGGGGTTTCCAGTGTACGGACCCTTCAAACTCTCTTTTTATCGTTTCGTCGTCACGCAAACACACGCAGGGATGGTAATGCGGTACTCGCTGCTGTGCGCGGTGCTCCTGGCGCTGTGTGCGCTGACTTCCTTGTCCGTCTGCGGGCTGCGCGTAAAGCCGACCATCAGCTCTGTGACCTTCGACGTAGGCAAGGAGGAGGTCTGTCTCTACTCGACGGGCAAGGACTTCTACGAGGGCGTGTCGATGCACTATCACGTGATGGAGGGCGGCAACGACTTCGACGTCTCTATTCGAGATGTGGATGGTCACCTCATTTACGCCTCCTACGCCGGCGAGCACGGCGCGGATGATCGGGTGTACTTCACCACACACACTCGGAAAGAACACGCGTACTGTATCGACAATCGCGACTACTCCGGTGCGCCGAAGACGATCAAGATGGAGGTGGGGCTCACATCGCTGAAGCGGTGGAAGAGCCGAATCGACCCGCTGCGCAAGTTGATGACGCGCACGGAAGGCTTTGTGATGGGGATGAACGACGACCAAATTTTGTTGCGCCTGAAGGAAGGTGGGATGCGTGAGTGGGTAGAGAAGATTTTCACCATGTTACTGGTGCGGACGGCGACGGAGGCGCTCGTTGTGTTGGTGATTGCCATGCTGAACGCACTTCTCATCTCGTACATTTTCAAGCGCGCCGTGAAGTGAGCTCGAGTGCAACGGCTGGGCCAAAGGGAAAAGGCTCGTTTGCGCGTTGCGGATGTGTGGCAGCGCCTTCACGTATGTGCATAGGCCGTGTTTTGTTTTCCCTCCTTTATTTCTCTTTCCTTCCGATGTTTAAAGGTTGATACGTGCGTACCGCAAAAGAGCTGTGAATGAACAGAGCTTTACCTGTGCGGCGATCTGCCGTGCCGCGAAGGCTGCGAGCCGAGTTCATTTGTTTGTTGTGCATTTTATCTCCCCCTATCTTCTGAGGGGCACATGCCTGCTCGTCCGGGTCCTCTTTGCTGGGCGTGTTGTGCCACACGCACTTGCCAGTGAAGAAGAAGTGCGAACTTGCGGATTCTTTCCTTCTCAAGCGACCTGCACTACTTCGGCACTGTTCTCCTCCTTCACTTCCTCATGTGCTGATCGCCGGACACAAGATTCACACCGTTTACATTCACACGCATACACACACTCGTCGTGTGTTATTATTTATTAGTATTATTGTTTTCTAGGAAAGCACCCCGTGTGACTACGCCCATCACAGCTTATTTGTTTTTGTCGTCGTCGTCGTTCATCATGTTCCGCCGCGTAACGCTTCCGCTGGGCACCACTGCGGCCCTCAGCGCCTTCAACATGGCTGTCCGCGGCGCCTACCACCGACCCACCACCCACGACTGGTCGCAGATCCTGCCGCAGAATATGTCGCCTGAGGAGCTCGCCGCACTGCAGGCACAGAGCCACCGCACCGTCTCCGGCGTAGTCCCTGGTGAAATGTTTATGCGCCACTGGATCGCCGCGGAGCAGTCCACCGTGTCCGTCGTGGACCGCGTCATCTCCGGCATGATTGCCGTCGTGACAATGTTGTGGGCCGCCGGGTACGCGACGCTGGGCTACAACGGCCACAACTCCGCCCACGTAGCAGGCTGGATGTTCATTGCGTATTGGCTGGTGCTCCACACGCACATGATGTGGCTCGTGCCCACCTTCCTGGGACTGGCGCTGCTGGAGCTCCTTCTGAATTAACAAGCGCACTCTTTCTTTCGTTTCCTTTGGCTGTACTCCTTTGGTCTTGGTACCAAAGAGACGGTGATCTGAGGAGCTCCGTTTCGTCCGCCCGTGCGTGTCGAGCGAGAGATGAACAAGAGGGGTTTGGTTGGCAGGGGGTGAACGCGCCCGAATTGACGGGGGAGGGAGGCAGAGAGTGTGTTGAGCCTTTTTCTTTTTGAATGCAGTAGTGGGTGCGTTGCACGTTGCGTTGATATTATCCATAGGAATAGCGGACGGTGCAGAAGGGGGAGGGAGAGGCATTCTCTGCCGCGTATGGTTCTCCCTTTGCTGCTCGATAGGTTGCACGAAAGCGCAGGCTTTCATTTCTCACTACTTATCTCGTGGTTCTTCTTAGACCAACACAACGCTTAAAATACCAAAAACCTGTGTGTGTGTGTGTGTTTGCTCCTTCGAGTTTCGTGGAACTCATGATCACCGCCATCTTCTATAAACATTTTTTATTGTTTCTTTACCTACCTTAGTTATTTATCATCAGAGCCACCTCTGCCTTAGCAAGCGTTGCGATTCGAAACACAGCTAGCGAAGAGAGAAGAAAAAAGAAAAGATACACAAGGCTCGATGCACAAGCAGTCACTGCTGTTCTGTGACGCCTCTCTCAGCCTTGAGGGAAACCCTTCGTGGGAGCTGCGTAGCCTGCGTTCTCGCTCTTCCACGGTGTCGCACTGTGCAGGTAAACTGCCAACCCATGCGAACCTCTTTCCACTCCGTCCTGTGGCTTCTCGCCTCGTTGGATGGTTCACACTGCCGTGGCAAAGAAGCACTGTGCTTTTGTTTGCTCCCTGCAACGTTGCCCTCTCTCCATTTCCGTCCTCCTTGCGCCTTTTCCGATATTATTTCTCTCTACTCTAGCTGTCTCCCAACTCCGCACCCCTCTGGAGTCTCCCTGCAGGGAAGCGCGAACACACACGCGTCTCACTTCCTTCTTTATTTCTCCTCTACGTTAACGAACGCAGTGCCGCGTGGTCGGAGGCGTTTATTTGTGTTTCTTTTCTTCTGTTCTACGTGGCTTCCAAGCCGGGGACGCCGTCTTCCGCTCTCACCACGATTGCCCGATCCCCGCCACGCATATTCTTTCTTCATTATTTACCCTCCGTCGCAGGCGCTGGGCGGCTAGAACGATGGACAAGTATACAAAGGTGAAGGCCATTGGGAAAGGCAACATGGGCACTTGCACCCTCGCCCGCAACAACGAGGACGGGCAGTGCTACGTCATTAAGCAGGTCGACCTCACCCGTCTTAGCAAGAAGGATCGGCAGCAGAGCCTGAACGAGGCGCGCGTGCTGAGCTCGTTGCGCCACCCGAACATCATCAACTACGTAGATAGCTTCCTCGCGCGCAAGTCGGACAGCTTGTGCATTGTGATGGAGTTTGCAGAGGGCGGGGACCTCTGTTCGCGGCTGAAGAAGAACTACCGCGTTAACCTGCCGGAGCGGCAGGTGCTGGATTGGCTCATTCAACTCGTCTTGAGTCTCCAGTACATCCATCAACGGAAGATCTTACACCGCGACGTCAAGACGCAGAACATCTTTCTCACCAGCGACAATTTGATCAAATTAGGCGACTTCGGTATCGCACGCACGCTCGCGAACACCTACGACCAGGCCCAGACTTTCGTGGGCACTCCTTACTACTTATCGCCTGAGCTCATTTTAGAAAAGCCGTACGACCACCGCAGCGATGTGTGGGCCCTTGGCGTCGTGCTTTACGAGGTCATGACCATGAACCACCCCTTTAATGCGAAGGACATGAAGGGCCTGCTGCAGTGCATCCTTGCCGTGCGGTACGACCCGCTTCCAGAGGTGTACAGCAGTGAGTTGCGTGACATCGTGGCGCGAATGCTGGTGCGGAAGCCGTCCGACCGCATTCCGCTGGACGACGTGCTGCGCTTGCCGATTGTGCAGAACCGAGTTCGGGAGTGGCTGGCGGACCCCGGCTCCATCTCAAGGCACTACGTGCGCTCGCTGTGCAAACACGGTCTGCTGCCGGCCGACGTGGCGGACGAGGCAGGAGCGGGGGCTGGCATGCCCGCGCTGCTCACCGTCGGCGAGGCTGCCGCAGCGGCTGCCATCTCCGTTGACAAGCAGCCGACCTCCTCCGTTTCCTCGGGCAACCCCGACTCCCTCACGCCGATGTCGGAGCACCGCCTCGCTGGGCCGCCGGTGAGGCTCGGCGGCGGTCACGTTGGCGCGTCCCGCACCCCTGCCACGTTGGAGCTGGCCGGCTACGGGCGGCCGCTGATGCCGCCGCTGCTGTCGCGGTCTCCCCCGCCCCCCACGTCGCACGCCTCGCCACCGCCGCCGCTGGTGTCGTCATCGTCGCCGCAGCCGTGTTCGCGCCAGCTACCGGCGATGCATTTCCATCTACCGGGCAGTGTGCAGCCGCTGGCGCTGCCGCTGCCGCCGCCCCTCGTCACGCCGCAGCACTCCTCGCCCACCACCACCCCCGCCCCCGTCAAGCTGTCCTTCTCAGCGCAGGAGCGGCCCACGTATCGGAAGCGCAGCGAGGTGTCACGGCAGTCGTCTGTGTCGCCGCCGGTGTCGCACATTTCCAGCGGGCGCAACCGCAAGACCGGCCGACCGTTGGTGCGGCCGTACGTGGCGCAGATGCACGTCGCACCTTCTCCATACGTAACAGACCGCAACGGAGTCTTGCCACCCAATAGTTTCCTCCTCGCCGACCCCCGCAAGCACGCAAACGAGATGCGGCGGGCGTACCCGGCGGCGCGACCTTCACCTGTGTTTCTGAACCCGCTTTACCGCCCACCCAACCCCGTCACACCCTCGAACATACACCTCGCACCCATTCCTGCGCCAATGTCCGATATTAAAACGATGCTGCATCGTGCCGCGGTGGACCGTGCACGACGGCGACAGGAACTGAACTGACATTCTTAAGGTTTTCTTTTTTAATTCCTTCATTTCTAGTCTGTGAGGTGATACGGCGCGTGTGTGGCGCGAAGGAGCGCCTGTGGTGGTGTCAGCGTGTCCGTGTTTACTGGTTTGTAACTTTACTTCTCTTTCCTGCTGTCTCCGAATGATGTACAATCATACCAGAAGAGCACCCCATATATATATATATAAACGTGTCTTCGTCGTAGATCTATAAAGGTTGTTCCTCTTTCGTTTCGCCTTTTCCCGATACTTTCTTGTTCTCCCCCCAGCTGCTTTTACCTTCGTGTGTGTGCGTGTATGTGTGCGCCACTTGCTGTGTTCCGCATCAGGGATAGAGATTCCTCTTCTACAAGTAACCGTTTGAATATCTGCTGTGTTTTCTTTGTATGAGAGTTTGATCTCACTACTGATGCCGTTCCGATGTGTCGGCACTATCTGCGCATGTGCGCGCACTCCACAATTGGCGTGCGGAGCTGGCCTCCTGAAGAAGGTCATAACGCGTCTAGCAACGGTTGCCGCGTATAGTGTGTTTGCTTACTCCGTGTGATGTTCTCTTTCTTTTTTCTCTCTTTCTGGAGTTACACCGCGCTCCACCTGCTTGCGACATTGAATAGATTTCTCTTGTTTTTTTTTTAATTGTATTTAAATCGTTTCACCATTGCACTTCTCGCCTTTTCGGTTTGTACTGAATGAAAGCGATGCCGTTATTTGGTGTTCTCTTTTATCTTCTCTTTTTGTCTTTGTATACATGCGCCTGTCCTTTTTGTGCTGTTTGCTTGCTTCCTCCCTGCACCCGTTGGCGGCTTTTCTCTCCGTTCTCCATACGAATTGCGTCAGCGAAATGTTCTGATGCACCCAAGCACTCATGCACTTACACTCTTTGCAACCATTGCCAAAAGCAATCACCAAGATACAATTATGTTTGAAGTGACGTGAAGATGAGACACACTGTGAGTCTCGCGCCTTTTTCAATCTGCGCGCTTCTTAGACACTGTTGAAGACGACACCGCCAAGGTACTCGCCGAGTTCCTTGTCAATCAGACGCGGCTTCGGATAAGAAGTGGGAAACTGCAGCGCTGGCTTTTCCCAGTCTTCCTTTCGCTGATCCTCGCCTCTCCGCTGACACCTCTCTGTTCTCCCTTTTTTTTTGCTGTTGCTAGTTACTGCTCGCTCGTCCAGGTTTGCACGCGACTTGCGCACCTCATTACTCCTGCTGCTCGTGCTGCTGTCCCGCTTTTTCTGAACCGGCCTTCACTCGGATCCTCTTCCCTGCTGTAGCTCTCTTTCCCCGTTTCGTCCGCGGTGCCGCCGTCCCTTTCTGTTTGCGTGTGTGCTTCGGTGCAATGGAAGGTGCGGAGTGGGACGAAGGCGAGGAGGACGCCGCCCGCTTCCTGCGCGAGGAGTACCCGCGGGTGGCGGCTCTGCCCGTTAACATCCGCTATCGCGCTTTCGCCCCCGCTGCGCAGGACGCCGCCGTGCGTGCGGGGCGCTCGACCCACGACTTTTACCTGTACCGCCGCCGCCGCCTCGACACGACGATTGAGGCGGAGGTGGCGGCATGCGGCGTGGCCGTGGTGCTGCCGCTGCAGTCGATGCTGGGCGACTCCTTCGCCATTGCGCAGCGGCAGCAGGCGACCTACCAGTGGCTCGCTCAGCGGCACGCCGCGGAGGAAATCCTGCATCGCTTTGCGGTGGACCGCAGGCTGAACGCGGCGCCGTGCTTGGCGGCGGTGAATCGGGCTCTGAGTGTGCTGGGCCGAGAGGGCGGCGCCGACGCGGTGCTCGACGTGCTGGAGGACGTGTTGTTGGACAGCGCGGTTATTCCGTTGAGTACGCTGCTGGAGGCGATTAAGGCGCTCCCCGGGCAGCCGGTGCGAGCAGCGCGCGTCGCCCTCGCCTTCAAGGACTCCCTGGGCCACCGATGCGTCCCGGCGAGTGTGTGGGGCAACCTAGCAGCGGCGCTGGGGCAGGCCGCGCTGCAGCAGTCACACCCGCTCGAGGAGCACTTCATGGATCTGTACGAGCGCATCCTGGCCATGGTGCGCGTCTCCACCGGACACCTGAGTGAGGCGATGATCGTCTCCTTTGGGCGCTGCCTGCTCGCAAGCCACAAGCCCTACTCGGTGGCCCTTCGCCTTGTACGCGAGGAACTCCTCAGCGGCCGCAGCCGCGACGCGCTCTCCACCTCGCCGCTGCACCTCGGTGCCTTCCTGAGCGATATCCTGATGGCCCTGTGCACGCAGGAGGAGCGCGGCGCCGGCGGGCGGGCGCGACGCGGGCACTCCGATGCGGAGACGCTGCTGTTCGCCACTGACGTGATGAAGTACGCCCACGCCACTCGTCTCCAGCTGGCGCCGAAGGTGTTCGATGCGGTGCTCGTCGTGTGTGAGCGGTGCCGCGACTACGCACGCATGGTGGCGCTGTACGTCTCCATGTGCCTCCTCTCCACACCGACTTTGCGGTCGACGCTGCGTGTGATGGAGGTGGTTGTGCAGGTGCCGGAGACGCGGGCGTGGCTGCAGCGCGTGCTGCAACTCAACGGCACCAGCTTCTTTCTGTGGTGCGTGCAGCGCTTTCCGGGCTTGTATCAGACGCCGTTGGAGGCCGAGGTGCAGCGGCGCGCCACGCAACAGTTGTTTGCCCTGCTCGGCGTGTTGGCGGTGGAGGAGGCGCAGGCGGCTCGGCTGCCCGGCGTTTGCCTCTTCGTGACGCGGGAGGAGGAAATGCCGCCTCTGCTCGCTGCGGCGACGATCTCGTCTGCGGTGTGCCACTACCGCGATGTGCATGCCGCAGCGCCGCGGTCCGTCTTGCACGCGTTGCGAGATCAGCACGCGGATTTGGTGAGGGCGGCGCTGCATCTGTCCCCACTGGCGGCCCCAGTCGGTGCTTCTCAACTGTCGATTAGCGTGGAGGCGGAGCTGCACCGTCTGCTCACCTCGGAGTCGGTGTACTGCACCGTCCTGAGCGCGGCGGCGCTGACTGCCCTGTCCGCGCGCGACTCGGCCGAGCAGGCCTTTGCGCGCATGATGGAGACGTACCAGCGCAAATCGGGTGCCGTCGCGTTGGTGCCATTCGAGTGCGTTTGCCCGACGTTTGGGATCACCGAGACGGCAACGGCGATGCTACGCCGCTGGCACCGCGACTACGACTGGTTCGCCGTACTGCCCTTGGCGGTGTCGCTCCAGCTGGGAGGCACCACCGCCTGCGACGTGTGCTGTGCCGCCTTCATCGCTGCCAGAAAGATGCATAGCAAGGTGATGTTTATTGGCGGGACGGAGGCGGAGGTGACGGCTGCCAAGGCGAGGAGCGTGGAGCCGGCAGTCGTGATGGAGGTGTTGGTGCGCCGCCTCTCCGGCTGAGGCGATGCTGTCCTTCGGTGCGTTGTTGGCGGATGCCTGCTTTCACAGCTCAACGCGTACTCTTTTTTGTTCTTGCGGCATCTTCTGCCGTGTGTCGATGCGTCGCACAGCGACGTCTTCCATTCAGCTGGCTTGACATCTGTACCACACGGAATTTCGTATTAAAGGAAAAGGATCGGGTCGTGCGGGTGGAAGGTTGGAGAAAACAGATCAAGTAGGCGCTGTGCCTTCATTTTGATGGTTGCGGGCGTTCTTCTTTCTGCCTATGTATGCTACTGGGACGCTTCTGTTGGCTCCTCCTGCGCGCCACAACAGCCACGGCAGACCCCACGATACGTAGCTCAATTCCGGTTTCACCGCTATCATCTTCTCTTCCGCTTTTCAACACTCTTTCACAAAAAAAAACTACAACTGCTGCAGCAACGGTCTGCTGTACATACGTGCTTTTTGTAACTGGACGGAGAGCACCGTCAGGTAAAAGGGAAAAGAAAACGCTCACGTACAGGCGGTGGCTTCCTTTGTCGCGGACAAGGGAAAGAGGGTGTGGGTTTTCGCTGACCTTTCCCGTTGCCTAGTGACTTCGATTTCTAATACGTCCTTCGACAGGTTTCTTTTTTTTTTTTACTCCCCTCGAAGCCTTCCACAGACTTCTTAGCCATGGCTTCCGTTGCTGCCGAACGGCAGCCGAAGCCGCTGCACGCCTACCCGACTGATCTGCAGGACAGCAGCTGCACCATCGCCCACTACGGCCTCAACAGCACCCGATTCAATGCCGTTGGCTACCTGAGTGAGAACACGGTGCTGACCAGCGGCGGCAAGTTCGTGCTCTTTCTTAGCTTAGACAGCGGGGTGATCGAGTCGCAGGACGGCCCGGAGGATGGAGCGGTGGGCGCGGTCGCCGTGCATCCCAGCCAACTCTTCTACGTCGTTGGCGAGCGGCGCCCTGCAGACCCACTCATCCAGGCCTACAACTGGCCATCGAAGAAGGTAGCTAAAACCTTTGTCGGCGGCGCCGCGGTTGGATTCAGCGCCCTCGCCTTCAACCACGACGGGACGCGCTTCGCATCTGTGGCGAGTGCCCCCGACTACACCCTCGCCATCTGGGACTGGGCGACGGCGACCCTTCTTCTGCGCAGCAAGTGCTTCAGCAGCGATGTCTTTACTGTCGCCTTCAGCCGCTTTGACGACTCGCTGCTCGTGTCGGGCGGTGCGGGGCACGTGAAGTTCTGGGCCATGGCGAACACCTTCACGGGGAAGAAGCTGCAAGGCTCGCTGGGCAAATTCGGCCGCCACGAAATCTCCGACGTCGACGCCTTCGCGGTGCTGGCCGACGGCAAAGTCCTCTCCGGCTCCGACTGCGGCGACCTGCTCTTGTGGGAGGGCGATCTCATCGTCTGCACCTTCGCCCGCGCCTTCGCGGTCAACGAGAGCGGCGCCAACGGCGTGGGTCAGACGCCGTACGACATCGTCACCTGCCACGACGGCGGCATCCACTTTGTGTCGCTGCAGGGCCCGTATGTGGTGACCGCCGGCGAGGACGGCTTCATGCGTTACTGGAACCTGCGTGAGCTGGAGGTGGCCTCCGGCACCGGGCTGCCCCCGTACTACGCTCCGACCTGCGTGCACGAGGTCTGCGTCGGCCCTGCCTTCCGCATCCGGTCCGTCGCTCTGGACGACGAGCACGGGCGGTGGATTCTAATGGACGCCTTCGGCGCCGTCGCGACCGTGCCGAACCCCCTCGCTAAAGGCGCGGAGCTGACCGACGTGGTGGGCGAGGACGAGACAGCGACGATGTGTTTTCAGCTGAACGGCGCCCCGCTGACGTGCGCGGCGGTATCGCCGGTGTTGCCGCTCGCGGTGACCGGCGGCGTGGATGGCGTGGTGCGCTGCTACGACGCGGTGCGCTGTGTGGAGCGTTGTCGGCTCAGCTGGTGCCAAGACCCACGCCGTAGCCCTGTCGCCGTCGTCGCGGTCAAAGTGCTGGTGCCGTATTCCACTACGAAATGCACGTGCGTGGTAGTGGGCTACGCGGACGGTGTCGTGCGTCTTGTTGAAATAATGGACCACGGCAGCGCGATCCGTATCTCCGGCCAGTGGAAGGCGCACGCTGACGGTCTTCTCGCGCTCGCCCTGAGCGGGGACGCGACGCAGCTCGCGAGCGTCTCCAGCAGCGGTGACGTCTTCTTCTTCGCGGTGAAGGCGGCCGCAACGGCTTCTTCCATCAAGCTGCAGCCCCTTGGCTTCTGCACGGCGCCGTTGGCCAAGCCGACGTGTGCGGCGTGGGATGCCAACGCGACCGGCGGCCACGGCGGCTGCTTGCTGGGCTACAGCAGCGGTGAGCTGCTCTCCATACGCGCGCCTGCGCCGGATTCCATCGACCACGCCAGCGGTTTCGTCTTCCCGTGCACCTACGACCTCGTGGCCATCCGACAACGTCAGCTGCCACCGCCCAAGACGGAGGCGGAAGAGCTGGACATTACGACGGATGCCGCGGCGGTGCTGCAGGAGGAAGACCTCGGTCCGTGGCCGATTGTCTTCGTGGTGTGCTTGCCCGGTGAGGAGGGCATTGCGGTGGGCATGGCGAAGGAAGAGCTGGCCTACCAGTACAAGGCCACCATCCGTTACCCGAACCAGCTCCGTCTGCCACCCCTGCCCCCCACCGGCGTCGAGCCGCCCAACTACGTGGAGGACCCGCTGATGAATTTGTGCTACCGCGGCTGCGTGCCGGAGGCGGCGTACGTCAGCCCCAGCGGCGCCCTCGTCATCTGCGCTGCTGGAAATCGACTCCTTCTACGCGAGGCGGCCCACCGCGATGAACTCTTCCTCCTTGGTGCGGCCCACGACAGCACCAGCGAGTCCGTGACGGGCGCCTTCGTGTCGCACGACGGTGGCCTGATCATCTCCGTCGGCACTGATGGCATGCTGGTCACGCAGCTGAGGACTGGGCACACGGCCCCCGCGCCGCTGCCAGCCATCGGAGGAGTCCCTTCGAAGGCAGCAGCCACAACATCATTGCTGTCCGCTGCCGCTGCCACTCACGGTGCTGCTTCTGCGGCTGCTGCTCCTGATCCTGCTGCTGCGGCAGAAGCGGTCGTTGATGCCCCGACGCTTTCTGTGCAGGAGCAGAAGGACGCGGACGACGCGGCACGGGCTGCGGGGGAGAAGGCTGCGCGGCTGCAGCGCTTCGTAGAGAAGGTGGAGGCGGTCCGCCGCGACTACACCCGCCTGGTGCTCCGAAACGAGCAGCTGCCCCCGGAACAGCAACTGAGTCGGGATGAAATGGAGCTCGATGCGTCGCTGCACGAAGCGCTTGAGATGGAGAAGCAGCGTCGCGTCAAGGAGGCCGGGAAAGAGTTTGTGCTCGTCACGGCCCGCGAGGATGCCAAAACAGAGAAGCTATGGAAGCGCTTCGTGTCCAACCTACTGTGCGACCGCTTTGAGCTCTTTGCCCTGGAGGACGACTTCTCCGTCGCTTCGTTTCGTGTACGCGACCCGCGCGAGTCCATAGCGCACCTGTCAGCAGCGACGCAGCAGCTGGAGGAGTCGGATGGCGTGTCCGATGGGGAAGACAAGGATGGAGACGACGGAGAGGACGGCGTGAAAGGCGGTCGGACCTCAGCGCAGAACGGTGACGGTGCCGCCGCTCAGCAGCAGCAGCAACTTGGTGTCGCGACAGGTTCACAGAGGTTTGCAAGCCAGACAGCAAATGCAGAGAGCCGAGCTACGTTAACCGGCGCGGAAGCGACGATTGGCGCCTCTGTCAGGCAGCAACTGAACAAGATGGATTCGCGGCGGTGCGAGCGGCAGGAGCGGCGTCTCGGCTACGAGCAGCTGATGGCCCGCGCACCGGACCCCGCCGTCGAGGACGCGGCGCTGTCACGCCAGCTGGAGCAGGACCTCAAGCAGCGTGGCGAGTGCACCCTTCGCACAGATGCCGGCTACCGCAGTGAACACGCATTTCGACCCACGGCGACCGCCAAGCTGCAGCGCATGATCGCGCTGACGGAGGAGATTGTACGCATCAAGTCCGCCTTCAACGATGACCTGCTGAAGCTGCGTGCCGAGAAGAGGGAGGTCCTCACGACGTTCAACGAGCTGCGTGCTTCCCACGCAAAGGTTCGCTTCCAGCTCGGTCTCGCTGCCTCTCCTGATGCGCCGAAGATGTCGCTCACGGTCGAGGAGGAGCCGGAGTCCGTGTATACAATGGATCACGAAAGGCTCGAGGCCTACCAAAAACTCAAGACGGAGGAACGCGCCAAGACAGAGGAGGAGAAGAAGGCGCAACGCGGCTTTGGGGCCGACCTTGCTGGGGCACGGGCTCGAGACCGTTCACGAGCGTCGTCGGCCGCGGCGACCGCCATGACCGGTGGGTCACGCGGCAGCATCACCGGAGGCGGCGGGTCTGCGGCGGCAAAGCGGCTCACCAAAGGCAGCCACTTCGGCTCGCAGCTGGACCGCAGTTCGCGGCAGAGCACCATCTCTGGTTTTGCTATGCGGGAGCGCATGGACGCGGAACTGAAGGGCAAACTGGAGAACATCAAGCTCTCCCCCGAGGAGAAGGAGGAGCGTGAGATGGAGAAGGCGATACTGGAGCGCGATTTGAGCCAGATCGAGACTGCCATGGCGGCTCTCCGGGCCAGCTTCAACAACAAGCTGGAGGCGCTGCGTCTGCGCCGCGCCAACGTGGACGCCGACCTGAGTCTCGCATGCGGCCGCCTCACGCTCCTCTTCCGCGAGTACGAACTTCTCCTCGTCTTCCGCTCACAGGATAAGAAGTTGAAGGTGGCACTCGACTCCGTCAAGCGCGAACGAGAAGAGGTGCAGCACGCCATCGCCACGCAGCACCTAGACCAGACCGCAATGGAGGAGCGCATCAAACAGCTGTCGGTGCAGCTGAAGGCGAGCAACCAAGCCGCTGAGGCGTACCTGGAGGAGCACTGCCCCGCCGATAAACTCGCGTACATGAAGCGGCTCTACTACCGTCAGCTGAAGCGGCGCCGCCACGGCGAGGCCGCCGACGACGACGACGACGTCACGAGCGATGACGAGGACGAGGACGAGGACGACGGTATCGGCGAGGAGGTGCGGCCGACGAACTGCTCGACCGAGGCGTGGGAGGAGATGCTGGCCCTGCGCGAGACGCGGCTCGACATCACCGATGCCATTGAGTCCGCCAGGGCTGACGTGGGTGCCACCCGCAAGCAACTGGAGACGTGCGAGCAGTCGGTACAGCAGCTGGCGGAACGGATGAAGTCGTGCAAGCAGGAGATTTGCGTCCTCGAGGCACAGAAGCGGCAGGAGCTGAACATGTTGAACACGGTGGTACCGTTGCGGCTCAGTCGAGTCCGCTGTCTTGACCGCGACGGCCGCATCCCCGTGAAGCTCTATGAGGAACCGGTGGTGGTGATTTCGAACAGTCAGATGGCGGCGCTGCGGCAGCGCATATACGACCTCGCCGCGCAGAAACGGCTTCGTCGGACGGAGGTGATCAGCATGGCAGCGGAGCTGCAGCAGCTGAAGGAGGCCTGCGAGGCCGCGCGCCGCGTGTACGAGGAGTGGCAGGCGAAGGTGACGGAGGTGATGCTGCTGAAGTTTGGGCAGCACGTGGACTTGGAAATGCTTGAGTCGTGCGGGTCTAGCTGGGCCATCGAGGCGAAGAAGGAGGAGCTGCGGCATCTAGAGCTGAGGTGGGCCCGGGAGGTGCGGAAGATGGAGAACTACATTGCGGATCTGCGTACGCGCTTGCAAGGCAAAGTTTTCCAGAACACAAGCCTCCTGCAGAACCTCGGCGATCTGGAGCTAGAGCGGCAGAAGGTAGATACCGCGCTCTCCCAAGCAACTTCCAAGACGGTTCAGCAGTACCGCGGCAACACCGTGGCCTCGAAGCAGGAGCGCTTGGTTCTTCGCGAGCTTATTGCGGCCCAGCAGGAGGAGCTCGACGCACTCAACGCCGAGATCGTGATGCTGAAGCGCAAGGGCGGCCACGTGTACAGCCCCGCCATGATGTGAGCCACCGGGATAGGCTTGTATATGGGTACGTCCCTTCCTCTTCGTTGGTGGTGCTTTCCATGTTTTTTTCTTTGATGTATAGACGACGATGTAAGTAGTGTTTTTTTTTTTCAGTGTATTGTAGCTGCGCGCGTGCGCGTGTGTGTGAAGGAGTCTTCGGCAGTTTACGCCGCCGGATGCGAAACGTGTTCTCTTCCTCTTCAGTTTCGGTAAAGCAGCGGCGCACCAGCTTCTGCCGAAAGCGGCGTGAGCGTCGTTGTGTACCGTCGTTTTTTGTGTATTTGTTGTTCTCTCCGGAGCAGATGTCCACTACTGTTTGCGCATCTTAGAACTCTCATATGGAAAAGCAAATCAGTTGCCCGCATTTGAGCTGCTACGCTTTGTTTTGTTTTCCGCCGAACTGCCTTCTATGCATCTCTCTGGTGCGGAGCCCACTGCTTGTATGGAAGGCACATCGTGGCAAACTGATGCTCCGCGCGTCTTCACGACCTGGCAGAGAAAAAAAAACATGGAAATACGCTTACATGTGGCTCGTACATCAGTGCTCCTTTCTGTTGTCGCCGTTGCGCTACTCGTCTCCCCTTCACCTCATTGCCTCGTCGAGTTCTATTCTCATCTTCGGTCATGATTGTTGTTCCTCCCACGCATTCGTTGACAACACTCTCTCCCGTGCCGACCTGCTCCCCTCAGCTTAACATCCGCCTCTCTAACACCACGAAGTATCCAAACAGCAGAGACATTAGCATATACATATATATATCTTATACCCGCCCCTGTTTTCTGTAAATCAAATCCTGTACCCTCTATTAAAGGAACTAGTCTTTTATCATTGTCGTTTTCCTTGTTTCTAATAACGCAACATCTTTTCTTTGTTTGAAGCAACGCTTCTGTGCGTGCCGTAAAGGTCTCTTTGCCGTTCTTGAGTATACCCGTTCTCCAAGTCAGCAATAGCAGCTTTCAGCGCGTGACTGAGAGTTGCTGCGTTGCTCCGTCCGCTCCCACAAAACCATCTTTTCACTTTGTAGTTCGTACAAGTCGGACGGCGGCAATCATTACTTTTAAAAAAGAACTTCTACGCTCCCTCTTTACGCGGGCACCCTTGTTTTCTTTGTGCAACGGGCGAACATCCATTCAGTTGCACGCACAAGCGAATACACAAGTGCACCTACACAGAGAACTCACACACACACACACACACACAAATCCAGACAAGCTAACCGTTTACGTTTACATCTCCGTTCTCTTCTTTTCGATTTTCGGCCATGTCGCTCTTCGGTGAGCCTCTGCCGTTCGAGGATGAGACGGCCGCCTCGCTGATCCGCCGCACCGGCTACCCACCGGAAGGGACGTACAACCAGATGCCCGAGGTCTACCTCTGCCCTTGCTGCAGTGAGTTCAATAAGCAGCAGGAGCGGGAGCGTCTTTTGCGCGAGGCCCGCGACGCGAAGGAGGCCGAGCGCCGCCGTCTGATGCAACTCGACGTCTTCGACGAGCGCGCCCGTCCGTTGCCATCCGGCGACTCGCGCCGCAAGGCCTACCGCCGCATCGTCGAGGACGAGGAGCCGGTGGACACCGCGCCGAGCGTGCCGCCGCCGCCACCGACGCTGGACGAGCTGCGCCGCGCGAAGCGGGACCAAAATGTGCCAAAGCTCGTCGTGACGGTGCACCACGGCCGCAACATCAGCGCCGAGGCCGAGGACCCGGTCTCCGTCATTGTGCGCTGCGGCGCCTTCGAGGGCCAGACCGCCAAGGTGCCACGCGGGACGGAGGTGCTGACGCCGTGGGAGGAGCTGTTCGAGTTCCCCTACATGAACCCGAATGAGCCGCTGGAGGTGCTCGTGGTGAACGACGCGCTGCCGCAGTCAAACGACCAGCTGGTGGGTGGCGTCGTCATCCCAAGCGGCGACCTGCACGACCGCGAGCGCGGGGACCAGGAGCCGGTGCCCGTGATGCCGGAGGAGAGCATGCACAACGGCTACGGCACCTGCAAGGAGGGCCCGCTGGGCACCATCGTTGCTTCATGGTACGTGCGAGATGGCGACGAGAAGATGGACGAGACGGCCATGGAGAAGCAGACGCTCGCCACGCCGCTCGCCTGCACCTTCGTCGCCCACCGCCTTTTCCAGTACACGGACCACGGCGCGGAGCCCTACTCGGGCGGCGTGCTGTGTGTGCTGCGCGACACGGACGACAACTGCTCCGAATCTGTTCTCTACACGCCCGGCCCCAACGCTGAGCCGTCGCTCTCGCCCTACCACACGAAGGAGGGCTACCACTACCTGCCGGAGAATCCGTCGCAGATGATGCAGCTCAACACGGAGAAGAAGCTGGGCCACATCCTTGTGTGCGTCCCGAAGCAGGAGGAGGCAGCCGGCGACGAGGAGGAGGAGCTGCTCGTCATTGGCGCCGTGCCGCTAGACTTTGAGCGGCTCTACAACAAGGGAAGTGCGGTGCTGCTCATCGAGTCGAAGTCGAAGGACGACGCCCTCTGGGGCGAGATCTCGATCGAGTGGGCCAACACACCGTTAGACGAGGAGAAGCCGCACCCGGCGCTGCTGGAGGTGCAGAAGGAGTCCCTCTTCGTCACGGTGGTGCGCGGCCTCAACCTTGTCCGTGCGGACGGCGAGCCCGTCGAGAACGGCTACGTCACCGTCGCCGCCGGTGAGCTGGAGGGCGCGACGGTGGAGGCCCCGGCCGTGGAGGACGAAGACGACAACCACGTCATCAACTGGAACCAGGAGGTGCGCTTCATCGAGGTCGACCCCACCCAGCGGGAGCTGGAGGTGCAGGCCTTCGAGAAGGAGCGCCTCATCTCCGTCGGCACCTGCACCCTCAGCCCCGACGACGAGGGCGTCGTCATCATTCAGATGCACCGCGCCGACGACCAGAACGAAGGCGCTGGCGAGATTGTGGTGAGCTACAAGCGCCTGCACGCCCCGCGCGCGGGGGAGGAGGGCGATGCGCTGGCCCGCGCCGCCGATCTCGCGCACGATAAGGGCGGCCACGACGAAGAGGACGAGGAGGACCAGGAGCGCGAGGAGGTGGCACGCGAGGGCGGCTACGGCGCGTCCGATGCGGACCACCACGCCGACGAGGAAGACGAGGAGAACGACGAACAGAAGGAGGGCCGAGCGGAGGCTGAGGAGCCGGCGCCGGCGGATGTGGAGCCAGTGGTGGAGCACCCCATGGTCATTGACCGCGAAGACCACGCCGAGGATGAAGAGCGTGAAGACGACGAGCGCATGCAGGAGGACGAGCACGCCGAGGATGGGGAGCGTGAGGACGACGAGCGCGCGCAGGAAGATGAAGAGGACCAGGGGGAGGACAACGCCGACCACGATGACCGCGAAGACGATGGTGAGGAGGGCAACGACGCTGACCACGATGACCACGAGCATGACGGCGAGGAGGGCAACGACGCCGACAACGCCGACCACGATG